GTTGTTCCAAGTGACTGCATCTGGACCCAAAACAAAAAAAAAAAAAAAAGAGGAAGGAATCTTACTTCGTTCTTGGCCATTGATTAAGATGAATCTTGACACGTGATGGTTCTGATGCTGTCTCATGTGGACACAATTCTACGGAAATATCCTGGTTTCTGCAAATGCTAAAATACTAGCATTTACAAAAACGAAAGATCTCCCAATTAAAATAACTATTTGTTTTATTTTAAATTAAATAATAACTAAATAAAAGAAAAAAACATACAGCCCATGGTCTTTCACTCGGTTCAGAGTGCAATATGGTAATTTTGACTTGAGGGTGGGACTGGTTCAAAACTCTTTGGAGAATAAAGAAATTGCGCTGCATATACAGGCTGGTATTTGTCATTCTTATAAACCAACAAAAGAAAAACAAAAAAGGGAAAAGAAAAAAGAAACCCAAAAAAAAAAAAAGGAAAAAAGAAGTGGTGAGCCTGTGGATTGCACATACGTCGGAAGAAGTAGATTGCCCGGCCCAAATGAACTAAAAATCTGTCTGCTATAAACTTAATCCTAGATTTGTATCATCAAGTCACTCGGCCTGGGCCCAATGAGTATCTTTCTAAAATTTCACTGTTGTTGAGATAGTTTAAGACTGAAAATTATGGCGCTGTGAAGGTTGCCAAAAAATAATTGCAGACCCGCAATTGGTAATTATCCAATAAAACTGGCCTTTGCGGCTTTGGAGTTTTTGCCAAAATAACACTCTTTCTAAAAAATATTCTCAATGTGATTCACTTTCAAATTTTATTCCCATAATGATGTTATTGTTATCACCTAATTACCCTGATTTCCATGTAGCATAACAAGAAAGGAAAACTTTAATCTAGTCTATAGTTTCCAACATGAACTAAAAATTTAAACTTTTTTATTATAAAGGCACAAGAAAATTGCGTAACTTTGATAATTTCCTTATAATTACTTAAAATAAATTCTACCGTTATTGACCTTACTATTATTGGTCTCTACACTTTTAAAAAAATTGTATCAACCTATTTCATATATTTTTCAAAAATAAATTTGCAAAATACAAAAATTGCAATGAAAATTGTAAGTAATAACAAGAAAAAGTTACAAAAACTTCAAGGTTATCATATTTGTTTATGTTATGCTTCCTACTCCTTGAAAAGAACTTTTACAAAAAGTAATCAAACTGAAATTTTCAAGTTTTCAATTTGACTATTATCTAAGTAATCAAGTAGTATAAAAGGCAAATGGCATCCTACTACTGGAAAAAGTCATGTTGTAAGGAAAAAAAGACAAAAAAAAGATTTTTTAATTAAATTTTAAAAATGTAATAAAGTTCTCAACATCCATATCTTATGCAAAGAACTAAAAAAACAAGATATTCTGAAGTAAATAAACTTTCATGGTATAATTACAATAAATTTGCTATCAATAAATGTGTCTCATGATCATTGCCAATTGCAAGCAATTTTGAAATATTTGAACCCACACTCTTGAAACTTCCTTAAGTGTTAGCAAAGGGGAAATGAATACAAAAATGTCATTACGCAATCCACTCATTCTATGTTAGACACTTCAATAATGCCAAATTCGAGCACTTCACTAATCCTATCTCCAAAATGGGTAAGTTCTATTTGATCATTGCAAATCACATATAGGGAATGAGGAAAACAAAGAGGTATCACAAGTTAGAAGTTTTTTATCGCAACTTGATGTTTTTCAGAGCCATTGATAACATATATCTTGTCCATGATTTCATGGTATTTTATCTGATAACTTACTCGAATGGCTTTTGGAGTAACACCCTCGTAACTAAGACCATGTATGCCTGTTGTCATCCTACCATTACAATACAAAAATATAGTAACATTTTTACCAGCCATTGCTACAAAATTCAGCAGCACCACCTACACAAAATTAAAAAAATCATTAATTAAGCAAATATTGTCATGCTATCTAAGACAGGAACTACCAGTGTTTGTCAATAATTAGCAAGGTTATCATTTACATGTTATTTAGAATACCATTAGATACAAGAACCACTAGTAGATTAAATCGAAATAGAGACTAGTAAATTTCATGTAATGCAAAAGAAATCTACTAATGCAATTAAGATAATGCTCAAGTTGCTCAAAAGTAACACAAACCATCGATTGATGTTGAATAAATGTGCAAAAATACATTAAGTATATGAGATTATCTGGTCATGTGATAGAGAAGCACTACAAATGAACATGCTCGTGTATATGGTGGAAATCAAACATATTGAGTATGAATCTATGTTGTTATGTAGTTTTCCTCTTGGACATTTTAACAAACACATGGTATGAGAAATCATTTGTTACACAATTAGTATTCAAAATTTTTTTGAAGGCTATAGGAATGTTCCAAAAACTACACATTAGAAAAGACAAGAGAATAATCTTCATTTACCTTAAGATCATCAATTCGAGAAGAATATTTTCATCCACGAATACAATATCAAGAATGATAGTGAAGTTTTACATTCTATTAATATAAATATTGGCTTCTCAAAATTACTTTTGACAAGAAAAAAATAACTAAAGGAAAAAGTTCAGAGAGAGAATCCGGGGGAATATCAGATAAAAAAGAAAGATAGAATATGTCTCTATTTCCATCCTGCCACATATGCAACCTTTGTGGCAAAAAGAGAATTATAAAGGTAATAATTTTTAAAATTAGGTTACTTTGGATATATGTTTTAGAAGAAGAGTTATTTTAGCAATAAACTCCGCGGCTTTGATTGTATACCTAATACTTTTCTAGGCAGCTCAATTTGCATTTCAAACCACAGTTATTAAATCCGACTTGGTGGCCCGGGCCGGGTCTCGAGTTTGAAGGGACAAGCAATTGACCCAATCAAATCCGGATAAATTCGGGTTATTTGATAGTTCAACTGGGAATCCGTCCGATTTTTCAATTGACCCGATTTACCATTTAAAAAAAAAAGAATTGTGGGTCTTTGGTTTTGAAACAATATATATATATATATATATATGCTTTTGATAACATTTGTATATTGGATCTTCATTTAAATATATATATATATATATTTTACCACTTGTTTAGTTTTTATTTGATAACTAATTTTTTTAAGAAACTTGTTTATTGTCTTATTATACAATTAATCCTTTTAACTTTTAAACTAACAATATTTGATTAGTTAGAAAATAACTTTGTTTTTAAATAAAAATAAAATAATGAAAAAATAATGCTATATTTTTTTAAGCAAGCGATATAAATTTGTTTTATACTTCACTATATTATTTATTTAAAAGTACGATAAAATGAAACTAAATATTCTATTAATATCTATATATTTCTCATATAGCTTTCTAAATATAATAATTAGTATCTAAAAGCAATTTATCATATATATTAAAATTATTATTTTATATTTATAAATATTAAATTAATACTGCGGTTCAACTAATGATCTAGTCCCTCTGCCGGATCCTTATCGGGCCGGGTTTAATGACTAATCCAACCCCAACCGTAGAGGCTGCTTTAGCCCTCCATTGGACTTTGTGCATCTAAATGGGGAAGCCAACGCCCAGTCATGACTCCCTAGTCTGGTGGCCGCTTCTGCACCGAAACAGCCCACGTGCATTAGACTTTGAGAGATTAGATTTTGAGAGGAAACGCACCTAACTCGAAATTGCCTGAATTGTTGATCTTTATAGTCTTCAAATAAGAGATGACCGACCTTATCAGGCATTAGATAATTAAGTTTTTGTGATTACTCATACGCAAACACACACACACATGCTACTTCTCTCGTGTAATCTCAAATCAAGACAGAGTATGATTAGATGATAAGTTTGGATTTTGATGCCATTGTGTTCAAGTATTTACTCCATAAAGTCAAGTTTGCTAGAGTATATGTGTATGCATGTATGTATGTGTATGTGTGAGTATATATATATATATATAGCAAATTATCCTGGTAGTCATCAAATTTTTTGAATAGTGAATAGTAGAGTTTTGGCCACTCAATTTTTAAAAGAATATATTTTCCCACTAAATTATTAAAAATATAAATTTTAGGCCATTTCATTTATTTTTTCAGTTAAGTTTGTCAAATTTGGTTATGTCTCGTGACTCGTGCGACTCTTAGATTTGTTAGATTTAACAGTAAAAACATACGGAATAGCAAAAAATTTATACTTGTAATAGTTTAGTGAATAAATACACACTCTTAGAAGTTGAGTAACCAAAACTTTATCATTCAAAGAGCTTAGTAACTATCTCGATAATTTGCTATATATATATATATGTATATGACAAGTGTTAAATAATCAGTTAATCTACAACGTGTGATACATTATTAGTAATAAAAAGAAGATCTCTGCACTTTGTAATTTCGATTGATGCTCACGTTTGAGTCAACGATCGATGTAGGTTCTAAGAAAGAGTGAGTGTGCATCCTCTCGAGTGTGCATCCTCTCTTCAGAAATGCAGCACACATATCCAACTAGAAGTATAAAAAGTCTCTCAAACTGTCAGGTAAGCACCAACCAGTCAAAACTCCCAGAATCTTTCTGTGTTTCTGCCTGTGCTTCCAAATTACACCGCATTCCTCTGCCTTCTATAAAACCTTAATTTGTTCGGCTTCCAAACCTAACGACCATTCTCAGGTGTGAGGCAGGCATTTCGTCCTCTTATTCGAACCCGAATGGCCAATTAATATCTTTCTAGGGCCTCACAAGTCTTCTCCTCAATTTCAACATGCATCTACCTCTATTTTCTCTCCTGCCAGTCCCAGCCTAATTCCACCCATCATTGATCTATCTACCCTCAGCTCTCCATGCAAAGGGCAAAAATATCTACCCCTTTTATTCATCAACTCCATCTGCCTCACTTATACTTGGGTTTTCTTCAAGTTTTTTTTTTTTTTTTTTTTTTAAAAATTTTCAGTTAACATCCATCTTTATCTCCGTTTGCCATCCCTCCGTTGTATTCACAGCACTTTTTTTTTTTTTTTTTTTTGAAAAATTTTCAGTTAACATCCATCTTTATCTCCGTTTGCCATCCCTCCGTTGTATTCACAGCACCAGAACAATTTCCTCTTTTCCGTTTTCTGTGCTTTTTATTTGAGTTTCAGAAATGATCAACAACATTTTCTAGCACAACAATAAAGATCAATCTCCTCGCCACAGCCGTAGATGGCTGCACCACCAAGTAGTCGTCAGCTCCAACACATGCTGCAGAGGGCGGTGCAAACGGTTGAATGGACATATAGTCTTTTCTGGCAACTCTGTTCCCAACAAAGGTAAATAATATCTACAACCTAGCTACAACCCGACTCATGAGAATAATCAAATCCCAGGGTCGTCATTGTTTAATTAGTAAATTTTCTTCTTCTTCTTCTTTTCTATTTACAAGTAATTCTGCACGCCACAAACTGATGAAAATAAGAAAAAAACTTGAATGACTTCTTTTTGTTTTTTTCCTCCGAACACAAAACATGTAGGATTCTAGTGTGGGGTGATGGGTACTATAATGGAGCTATAAAGACTAGGAAGACAGTGCAGCCAATGGAAGTAAGCGCGGAGGAGGCATCCCTTCAGAGAAGCCAGCAGCTCAGAGAACTATACGATGCCCTCTCTTCCGGAGACACAAACCAGCAGCAGCAGCAAGCGCGAAGACCTTCTGCATCCTTGTCTCCGGAGGACTTAACGGAGTCTGAATGGTTTTACTTGATGTGTGTGTCCTTCTCTTTCGCTCCTGGAGTAGGGTAAGTGTGTTTTCATGAAAGAATAGCTTAGCTTCTACTCTTCTACTTAATTATGATTTATGATTTAACTTGAGCTTTCGTTCATTCATTAACATCCTCACATATTCATGATACGTAGTAAGACAGCAGTAGGAACTTGCCGAGTTTTCATGTTAGATGTTACTTGTGTTTTATAAGCAGAAAAAAATAGGTCTTATTGCGGAAAGATAAAAGAGAAAGTTAGGATTTTGATGATTTCCTTCTTTCGACACTTGATTTAATAAACGACAGATAAGTATAACAACCATAACCGTATTTGTTTACTCGCTTGTTGTCTCTTTCCTCGATCGATGGCTCCCAGCTTTGGAGATTTGTATAGTCACCGCTTTGCCTTTTTCCAGCAGTGTGTCATTCAAATAGACCTAGTTCAGTATCCAACATTCACTACGTATACAGAGAGAGAGAGAGAGAGAGAGGTGGGATTAATTAGAAACTTAGAGTATCATCCTCCAGTTTCTGATGAACTATTATGGGGTTTGGGGGCATTAGAGTGATTAAAATTCAGAAAAGCAATTAGACACTAACAATGAAACTGTTGGGCTTAAATGAAGCTTCTATACACTAAACTGCCCACTGATGACTTTGCATTAATTTTAGAGACATTTGGACGTTGGAACTATAGGTGACAAACAAATTCATTTAACTAAATTTATTCATACTCGTCCATAAATAGATGAGTGCGTATCTTAAATTTTTGCATATGGATATAAATGAGTTACTCAAGAATACTTATTTAATAAACGGGTATTCTTGGATAATACCCATTTTAACGTGTTCAAGTCACCCATTTTGACACCTCTAGTTGGAACTATTACTTGTGAAAAAACACTCCAAAATTCTTCAACCTGCTAATTAGGTTTTTTTGCCCACCCAAAATTTAAAACATATTATTAGTTTTGCTGTATCCTCCTCCTTTTGAGGACTTCTTGCACTTCGGTTGGATGAATTAATTTTTCTTTCCAAATTTGGTTTTTGACAATCTGGCCTTTGCCACTGAAAGTCAATCAAAGATATGACAGAGGAAATTGCTGTCAAGACTTGAACACTCGGCCAGAAATAAATGACGGTGCTGTATTAAACAAGTAATGGTCCTACTTCTTGACAAAGAAACGTATACAGAAATGTAATGTAAGCGTAGGGGGAGAAATTTGGCTGATCTTAACTAGTAACTCGGCGACAAATATCTTGCAAAATTTTTATAAAGTTGTCGGCGGTACAACAAAGATCGATGTTTAATTTTTCAAGAACTTCATGCTTATAAAGCCAAGTAGAAATTCTTTTGTAACCCTACAGCTAACCGGCTAAAACTTCCAAGGACGTAGCATTGTTACAAGATTTTGAGTTTCATTTACATCTCAAATGGGTGTAAATTTACTGTATCTGAAAGCAAAATGCACCAATGTTGTGGCGTCGAGAATCTTCCGATTTCGACTCAATAAATACTATATGACACAGTAAAACCATCAGTCCACGTAGAGTTCCCGATCGAAGACATGAAAAATATATATATATATATATATATTCACTTCCATATATAATACGAAGCAAATGCAATTAGGGAAGTAAGTTACAAGTGAAGCCCTTCTTTTATTGAATTGAATGAGTATAAGTATAGTTTTTTGTAGATAGGTTGACGATTTTATCACAACGAAACGAAAGAACAAATCAATTCGCTGAACTAGATTATATATTTGATCTAAGTGGTGATTGCCTAAGGAGTTAATCTGTACTTCAAACGTGTCACACAATAGATTGCCAGGAAGGGCATATGCTAAGAGGCAACATGTATGGCTTACAGGCGCAAATGAGGTTGACAGCAAACTCTTTACAAGAGCCATTCTTGCCAAGGTACGTACCTCATCCTCGTTCTTTCAAATTATCATGTATATGCTCCAAAAAATTCGCTGAAGTTCACTAACTCTTTTTCCTTATTTGTTCTCTTCTTGTGAATTATTTCTCTAATCCGTCAGAGTGCTCGCATACAGGTAAAACTCACTGCCATTAGTTTCCAATAAATTTCTCTCTGCGGACAGTACAAAAGCATTACTATCGACTTGGTATGGCAAGAGTAGGTTGTTAATGATACAAACTCTTTTCCCTGCAAGTTACAGACCGTGGTGTGCATCCCTTTGCTGGATGGCGTAGTTGAACTCGGAACTGTTGAAAGGGTAAAACCCATTTCACTTGTATCATCTTTGCTAGGCTTATAACACTCTAGAACTACCACGTACAAATGGGGTGCAGTAATAGACCGTCAAGGAATGATTTCTTTTTTCTTTTTTTTTTTCCCCTTATCTTGATCTTAGGTTCAAGAAGATCTGGGATTCGTCCAACATATCAAGAGCATTTTCGCAGAGCATCAACAGCCTCATCAGACTCCAAAGCCTGCGTTATCCGAGCACTCCACTTCCAGTCCAGCTACTGCTTCAGGGCCACGTTTCCATTCTTCCACAGTGCCAGTGCCTGCTACTTACACCACAATTCACACGTCCCAAGATAATAGTGATCAAATAGAAGAAGAGGAAGAAGAAGGAGAAGACGACGAAGAAGACGCGGACGCTGACGCTGTTGCTGACTCAGATTCTGACGGTGAGACAGTTCCTCAGAGTAGTGCCCCTAGTTCTGGGGTTCAGAACCCTAATAGCATGCCTCAAATCAAAACTACTGAGCCCAGCGAGCTAGTGCAACTTGATATGTCCGAGGATATCAGGCTGGGATCACCAGAAGATGGCTCCAACAATTGGGACTCTGACTATCATCTGCTTCCCCATGGGCCAAACAAGAATCAGGAAGTCCAGCAAAACCGGCCTGATTTGTGTTCATCACAGTCCACACCTAGATGGCCGCGTATACAGGATCCCGGCATCAATCATAGTCTAGAACCAGCCCCAACAACATCAGGTATTTTTATTTTTTTTCCCTTTAATATGGTCTCATGTCACAAACTAGACCTTCCCAGCATACTAACTATTTTTTTTAACGTCCCACCTCTCTTCGTGCACGCTTCCCATCTTTAACTATCACGTTCAGAACTCGAACCTTGAATTCGATAAGTGAAGAAAATTTTAAGAGCCCTCTCTTGAACTGTGAACTATGTTTGCTGGATTGAATTGATTAGTTTAACGAAGATTTAGGTGACTTTTAAACCGTGTCTTTTGAACTCAAATTATCTTATTACCATTCCACAACTCTAGTGAAACGGCACATCTACCTGATTTAATTTGGAGTTTATTGAAAGTATTGTATATGGAAAAATTGTTATGGTAACCGCTGGACTGAGATCACGATGGTCAGACAGATTTTAGAAAACCGCATCCATGCATGCACGTACGTAGAAAAGCCATGCAGATATGAGTTCTTTATCGTGCTGAAACCGCATTGAATTACTACTATTTTCTAACTTAGCAATAGTTTGAATCTTTGCTAAAAATTCAATTTTATTCTAAATTTTCCACAGGGGTCCCACTGTCAGAGAATGAGTTCGCTCAAGAGGATAGCCATTTCTCTCAAACAGTGTCCACCGTTCTTCACCACCAATCAAGCCGGTGTTCCTCCTCCAGCATGACCGGCAACGTCACCCAATCCATCCACTCCGCATTCTCCAAGTGGCCAGCCACCAGCTGTGACAGCCTCGCCCACGGCAACCTCCGAGGATCCTCCTCCCAATGGACACTCAAATACATACTCTTCACGGTTCCATTCCTCCATGCCTCCAACTCCGGAGACGAGACCTCCCCAAAGTCTCGAGACGCAGCGGCAATATCAGATTCAGCCTCCCGCTTGCGCAAAGGCACCCCACAAGAAGAGCTCAGCGCAAACCACGTGCTAGCAGAAAGACGCCGGAGGGAGAAACTGAATGAGCGTTTCATCATATTGAGGTCCCTCGTGCCCTTCGTCACCAAAATGGATAAGGCATCCATTCTCGGGGACACCATCGAGTATGTGAAGCAGTTAAGGAAGAAGATTCAAGAACTCGAGGCAAGTTTCCGGCAGATGGAGGCCGATGGACACCCCAAGAAGAATGCCAAGGAGCAAAGAAGCAGTAGCAACAACACCGCGGCACGAGTACAGGTCGGACAAGGATTGGATAGGAGGAAAATGAGGATAGTGGAGGGTAGTCCTACAGGCGGAGGAAAGCCCAAAGCAGCGGTGGTGTCTCCGGCCGAGGGAGTGTTACAGGTGGAGGTGTCGATAATTGAAAGTGACGCATTGGTGGAGCTGCAGTGCCCTCACCGGGAGGGGCTGTTGTTGGATGTCATGCAGATGCTTAGGGAGCTTAGAGTAGAGATCACAGCCGTCCAATCCTCTCTTAGCAATGGCTTCTTCGTTGCTGAGCTAAGGGCTAAGGTATATCACTTCTATAATGCTACCCGAGGTACGCTTACCTTGGGGCTTCACTTCTATAATGCTAATTTTTAGCAAAATTTCGTTGGATAAGATTTTTTAATTCAATTACAATGACCATCTCATTCCAAAAATTTTTTGATTTTTTTTATCAGGTGAAAGAATACGGGAATGGTAGAAGGGCAACCATTATGGAGGTCAAAAGGGCAATTAACCAAATAATCCCTCAGTATTTGCTTTAAACATCGATAGGCAACCAAGAAATTTTTTTTTTCATCTAGTCAGGATGATATCAAACTGTGATAATCGAGTAGATGACAAGGTGTTCCTAGCCTAAACAGATAACTAATGACAATCTACGAGTAACTACTTAACAATTTCCCTCTACAATTTTTTTGAAATTAATCTTTCTTACTAGTTTAATTGAAATATTAGTTAAGCATAATCTTTAACTTTCAAATTCATAGTGAGCAGAAATTTCCTACGTTTTTATCGGTTTCGTTAATGGTTGCCTAATGGGCACAGAGGCCTTAGGTATAAGTTTTTTTTTTTTTTTTTTGGGAAAAAGGGTTATTATCACTTTACCCCCTTAACGTTTGGTGTACTATCAATTTCCCCCTTAACGTTATCTTTTAATCACTGTACCCCCAAGACTAACGGTCAAACGTAACGAAATTTGTTAATTAAAGTAAAAAGACATGTTTAGCCCTTAAAATTATTATAACTTTACCCCCATAAAATATAGTCTCATTATCAATTTACCCCCTAGAGTTATTTTTTAGATAAGTTATCCTACCATACCAACTTAGCAAGTTAAAAAACTTAGAAGAAATACCCTCCTTTTTACATAATAAAAATAATAAAAAATTTAGAGTGACTATTCTCCTTTTTAGTATCAAGAAAAAAAAGTCAAAATATTAATTTCTTTCTTCTTGACAATCTTATTAATATTGAAAAAAAAAATAGAAAAATGGAGAAGGGGTGGGGGAGGGGGAGAGAGAAGCTCAATTCTTTTTTAAAAAATTACAAATAAGAAAGAATTAAATACATTTATTATTTTAAAATTATTTCACTTTGTTGTTTACCACCAAATTCCAATTCTAATCTCGACAACCTTAAAGTAATACGATAATGTTAGACTTTTCTTTATTTTATTTTATTTTTTGCAAAATCTAATTTTTTGTTTTCTTCTTTCCTATATCTTTTTCTTTTCCTAGTATTAATAAGTGTGAAAAAAAAGAAATTTGAGAAAATCCTTTTATTTTTATGTTTTTCGATCTCTCAAAGTGAAAAAAAGGAAGAATAACCATTCCAAATTTTTTATTTTTAATTATATATAAAAGAGGGTAAATATATTTAAAATTTTTTGACCATACTAGTTAGATTAATGATGAGGTAAAATGCCTAATAAATAATGTTAGGAACTAAAGTGATTGTATCACTATAATCCAAACGAATAAAGTGATAATAACAATGTAGTAATGCTATAAAATAAAAGGGTATTTTTGTCCAAAATTTCTTAACATGTTGAGTTGAATTACTTATGGGGGTAAAATGACTAAAAGATAATGTTAGGGGGTAAACTGATAGTAGTGATATAGTTTAAGAGGGTAAAGTGATAATAACCCTTGAAAAAATGTAGCTAATTTTGAAGTGTCTAAATGTAGGAAGTATAATAGTAATAGTGATTGCGTGTTCTCATGGTACGTTAGATGCAATTTTAGTAGGTTAACAAGTACCTATTAAACACCTATGGTACGTTTGATTTATTTGCACTAGGGGTTCTTTATACCACAAAATTTGCAGTTTTTCACCCGGGATTTAGAAACCTAGACACCTTCCCAAATGCACCCCTCCTTTAGTTTCCATCAACCAATTCTTTGCCGGAGCGAGATGACACCAATAGTTTTTTACATTTTAGTGTTATTAAATTTTAGTCTCCCACATACAAAATTAAATATTTTAGTCCCTTACAAATTAAAAACGAACTTTTTTATTCCTTGATCATATTTCAAACCATGCTTTGGTCAGAGAAAGCCATAGATACATGGCATATTTGAAAATTTAAGGGTAAAATTGGAACCACATAAATTTTATCCAAAACCATTTTGAAAAAATGAAAATCGTTCAAAACGTTTATCAGATTTTGTCAAATAATTTTTTCGCTCTTCACTTTAAAATAGTGAATATAGATTCCTTATAAAATTAAGTCGACCAAATTTGGTTCCAACCCAAATTTTAAACCATATTTTACCTTGAATCCATCACATGACCCATATGTAGTCATTTTTTTGGGGGCAAAAAAGTTAGATCCCATTTGTAGTTAAGCAAATAACTTGATCTAGATGCATTTCTACCCTTAAAAAGTAGGATTTGATCATAATCATATTTATTTTTCCTAAAAAAGTGGGTTCTAATCTAATATATGTTCATTTTGCCACTAAAAAGTAAGATCTGACATTTTTGTATACTAAAAATTACTGCATGTGGGTCAAGTGGTAATTTCAGATTCATACTAAAAAGTGATTGGAAATTTAGATTGGAACCACATTTTATTAATTTAAAATTGTAAATTTAACATTTTAAAAGTGGATGACGAAAATATTCATCAAAATGTAAGGGATATTTTTAACAATATTCCCTTTGAAGAACCCAAATAAACCACATCAATTGGAATTTTGTGTGTCCTAATCTGCACTGTAGAAGAGCAATTGATAGAGATTACTTGTAAAAAATTTTAATTCGCGAAGCCAGCAATGGTGATGGTGTCATGGAACCCAAAAAACAAGGGAAAAAAAAGTTTCTATGGGCGCTCTCTTATGGAGCAAATTTTCATTTTTTTAATTCTTTTTGAAGAGATGGAGGTCAAAAATTCTTGTTAGTTTTGTGATACATTCACACAGGAGATCCCAATGATGAGCTTTATCTGGAGTTCCCCTGGAGGTATTTTCCGCTGGAGTTTTGCAAGGAAAGAAATGGATTTACGAAAGAAGATAAAGTCACTTCAAAGGAAATGGTGAAAATAAAGACGATTGCCTGCTCCCATAAGGAATCATAACAAACCAAATCTATTGAATTCCGGGGCAAGATGATATTGATTCGTCATAATACTTGGTCTTAATTTCTTCTCAGCTCCACTCATCGGAACCTCCTAATTGAGCTTTCCTTTCAATTTCCTTATTTTGAAATTTACTTTTTTTATTTAACCCGATGATTGATATTTGCACTTGAGTTGCTTGTGGGAATTTCGACAAAAATTGTGAGTTGTCAATTTTGCTCTTAAAATTTCGAATGCTTGACGTATCCACGTCGTTTACGGCAACAATATGGCTGGAAATGTAATCAAGGAGCCAATAAAAGGTCGCTTTATTTCATACACTAGGGACCTAAAATGCTTTATTTTATACACTGGGGACCTAAAATGCGAGCAATATTGACGTCGCCTTCCCCTCGGCTGGGAGTTCAGATTTTCTAGCAAGGTCTAGAAGCACTTAAAAAATAACCCGCCTTCATCGCTATCAACCCTGCAAGTGCAAGGTGAATGAAATGTGTTTGCTGATGCCTGGATTATATCTCAACCTTTCCGAACTTTTATTTTATTTCTTTAATCACAACTCAAATATAAGGCTGGAGCATTTTGTGGCTGCAACATTAATGCCCAATGTTCTTTCCCCACTTCACTTGCAAGACAAGATAACATATAACAAATGATCTCAAGCGACGAAAAAGGAATATTTACATCATTCAAAGCAAATGAAATGATCTCGGAGTTTCCTTCACCTTCTCATCCAACAATCCCAGCAATTACCAAGATGTTCGTGCAAATCCGATTTGTTTGGATGGAGTATTATTTGAAATAATTATTATAATATTTTTTATAATTTGATGCATATAAAATTAAAAATATAAAAATATATATTAAAAAATATATTTATGATGTAAATAAAATATTATTTAAAATAATTTGCCATGCAAACACCCTATCTCCAACAAAATCCCAAAATTCTTCTGTAAATAGACAAATCCAAAAGGAAAAACGCTCAAAAAAAGCAAAATTCTCTAATTCGCACCCCCCCCCCCCCCCCAAAAAAAAAACCCTCCTGTCATATTTCCAGATTTTTCCTTCTAGATCAGTTTCTGGTTCAACCAGTGTACAATCTGTAGCAACAACAGCCAAAAAAAAAAAGGTCAAAATTTACGACAAAATTGGTGAATTCACAGGCATCCAACAAGACTGCAGCTTAGCTTAACCCAAAATCTTCAGAACATTTCCCCAAGGTTGGAATTCCCCATCTTCTCCAAGTCTGCCTCTGACAAAAGGGTTTTCTTGCCCATGACACCAGTTTTATCATATGGCTGAGCCATTTTCCTTAAGAACTGCATCCAGAAGAAAGGATACGCGTTAAAAGTAGTCCACTCTGACCACACCCCCTACCCCAAAAAAAAAGCACAGAAAATGTAGCGCTTTTAATAAGGACTACTAAACCTAAAGCGGTTAGTTCACGTCAGATGATTTTCTACTATCATTTGTAGTACCACTTTATACATACAAGGATAACAAACTGCCCTACTTTGGAGTCATCATCCCTGGCAGCATCATTCAAAAGAATAAATAATACTTCTATTCTGGATGAAATAGAAGCACCACACTTAAAGCTACCCTGTGTGTGGCTCATGCCAATAAAAGCCCATAACTAATACCAGTTGTCATCAACCTGATGAAAATCCAATACACCAACTCATGTAGAGTCACATGCTATACTCAAATCAAGCACGGCGACTTTGATAATCATCTGAGATTCCTTCTTCCTTAATTCCCTATTATCCATGAACATGCTGTATTAAAGACACAGTACGAATGACATTTGACAACCCTAAAGAACAGAAAAAGATATTTGCAAAAAAATCTATTATCCCCCCCTCCATCACACTCTCTATTCAAGCTTTAGACCTGGCAAGCAATTGTGGAGACACTAGTAGGAAAGAGCAGCACAAAGATAGGATTAGAACTACACCTCTCTTGCTATATGCGCAGCCATGTCGGTACTCAAGTTAAGATGTGCATCACGTAAATGTGACAAAATCCAACCAGGTAACTTAGAGCGCTTGTCATGACGGCTATACCTGAATACAAAACAGAAGATAGGATCAATTAATTTCATAAATGTGAAGCTGTAAGCAGAAGGCAACAGTCACCACAATCAACAGAAACCAATCTAACTGTTCATGTATGATTTCTGAAGGAGGTCTTCTTGTAGTATGACCTAGCAAGCTCAAAATACAAGGCCAAGCAGTTTGGCTACCTGTCATGTTTACTCTCATTAAAGTCCAGTCCTGTCCCTTTTCTTCAACAGCAAAAATAGCAATTATAGTTTGCTGATTCTATAAAGAAACTATAACCTTTTGTAGGCACCACCCAAATCCACAGTTCCATGCTGCAACTAACAGGTTGTACCAAGCTTAGACTTCCATACCGTTGATTCCTTGTTGATGCCAAAACATACATGTAGCATGTAGAGATGGTAATAGTCTATCTTCCTTTTCAGTTCCTATCAAATGCAACTTTCGACACCACCAACAACAGACCTTTTGTTGTTTAATCAGTTTCTTGTTCATTAATTATAAAACTGAAAACTACAAACCTCTTGTCAGCAAATATCATCATCCCATAATCTGCCTTTGAACGGATAACTCGCCCAACGCATTGAGCAGCTTGTCTCTGAAGATGCATGCAAACAATTGTAAAAACAAACATATGCAAGTTTCTTAAAAATGATACAGGAACAATCAAAATGTACCAAAGCATCAAAAGTCAGAAAATCGCCCTCCTTAATCTGGAAAGTATCCCGCAAGTACTCCAATCTTGCAAGCAATATTCTGCAGTTTATGATACCAATATTAGCCACATCAGGGAATAAAAATTGATCATAAATGAAAATCTGTTAAAAACACCAAAGAAGGTTTGAACCCGTTTGTACATAAAAGAAAATCCCAATGCTGTAATTTAATATCCAGTGGGACATGCAGCACAGAAAGATTCGGACTACAAATTATGCTACCAATAAACTCGAAAAAAAATAGCCTGGCTATTGTAGAATCTTATTGATGATTAAAAAGACCAGTGTCAATAGTAGCATTTGAATATTAAAGTCAACCACCATTAGCTGAGGGCATAATAAAAAATATAATCTTTTGAACGTCTTAGCTGTAAAGCTTGAGACAATGTCAACATGTATTAGTGCCCACAAAAAGCAAGCCGACTAATGCTGAAAACATCTCTTCGTGTATCAATAACAGAAGTAGCAGAAACAAGGACAGAAGCCCCCGTTGGGGGGGGGGGGAGGTTGAGAAGAGGTGGGGCCCCACCCCTCCAAGTTCTAGATATTCATATTTTGTCCCCTTAAAATTTTAAATTTTTTTTAAAATTCCTATGTATTTTAAGCTATTTGCCCCCCAATAATTTTCAAAAAAATATTATGTTGATTTGAAAGTTTATATGCATATGCATTTTGCCCCCCTCAAATTAAATTTTCTGGTTCAGTCCCTGCAGAAAGGTTACCTGCTTAATGTGTACTGGAAAGGAACGCCGAACATGATGACAAGCCTACCATAATGCCTATCAAAATCAATACCTTCTGCAACTTTGCCCCTGTAATTGAGTCAATCCAGTGGAGACAGTCAAGCCCTTTAGCACTCCCTTACTAACAGACTAAAAGACAAAATTCACCAAAGAGTAGCCAACAAAAAAAAAAAGGCCCCCTTGATCCTGTGTGACATCTTGGCTCACAAGAAACTTCTACAAGGAAGAAATTGCATAACACCATTACAACAGAAGGTAGGAAAGATGCCAATTTAGCATACAATATTCCATAGAGGCCTTTTGCTGAAAACCATGAATTTACATAACAGCAATTAAAACATGGGTATCACTTTCTAAAGATGGGCATATCAGCAATAGTTTCAAGCAAAAATCCAGTAAACCAAGTCCAGTAACAATTCAAATACACAAAAAATTCTTTTATGAATTAATGCTGCAGCAACAGCAAAGGCAGAAGTAATCTCATAAGTTCTGACATATGTGATGATATCACTAGAGTTATATGATCATCCCTAATGAGCAGTGATCATGAATACTCCTCATCAATTGAACCACTTAACGAGCAAAAAGTTGAATAACCACCAGATATATGCACCTTAAGTACTGAACTGATGGTGGAAGGAAAGGGAGATAGGAGTTCAATGATTCTACCTCGCAACTGAGAAAAAGACAGCTCCTCTTCCACAATCGCAAGCTTTGCGATAGTTGTCCAAAGCCAATGTGGTTTCAACAACATCTTGAGTCTCGATGAAAACCAGTTTATGTTGCATTATTTCCTGTAACATGTCAGGGAAAAAGAAGGAGCCATTCGCCAATAAATTACGATTTAGAATACTCTTCAATATAAAAGAATAGGAAAAGCAAGGATAAAGTGGAATGAACAAGGAAACTAGGCAAATTACAGAAAAAAAAGAAATAAAGATAAAGTTCTCTTTGGAAATTTTGAGAAAGATCAGAGGCTATTATCACCTTCAGAAGACCTGTTTCATGCCAACTATTGACTATCCCATCCATGTAAGAGTAGCTGACAAAGAAACAAACAATTCCATCCGGAACAACAGATACCATTTCCAGTAAAAGCTTTCCATAGTTTTTTTCAACACCAGGATCACTTCTCAGATCATACTTCGTACTTACAGGAAGCTGATCACTAAATGACATGCCACAGGAAAAAGAATGATATAATGATGTGAACCAGTAGACTTTCAACCTAATCATAAAACAAAAATTGGCAACTAATACATGTACTACAATAGTTAAAGGGCATACCTTCCCCGTGTGAGGACCATAGGGCATATGCAATCCCTAGTCAAGGACATTGTGAAGCTTCGACTAACAACTGGGTTAAAATTTAGAAGACGTGGGTAAAGATCAATTGGGCTGAGAGTCCCAGAAGTTATAACAACTGATTGAAATCGTTCAAAAACAGGCTTTATGGCAAGAGAAGCATCATGACAGCATAGCTGAAATTTAATAGAAAAATATTATTTTCCAATGCAGTTATTGAAAAGACAATGACCACCCAAAAAAAAGGACCATTACATCCCAAATTATAGATTCCTTGGTAAATACAGAAGCTGAAGAAACAACAATTTGTCTTCTTGCTGTACCCACTATGTTTTATATCACAGTCTTGCTTCTTCAAATAAAGGACATACAGAAACAAAAGGAGTCTCATTTTACTGCTCATATGTGATATTGTTCATTAAGTATTCACCATTTGCAACTTATTTGTATTCTAAAACTTTTTTTTTGGGGAATTTTGGTGGCAGGGGGGGGTGGGAGCTTGGGAAGATGGTCATGACATAAGCATACCTGCAGCACTGGGTCAGGAATATGTGGCATCCTCTCATCAAAAGGTTCAATTATAATTGAAAATCCTCGAGTATATGTTCCCACAAGTGTCGCAAAGTCACAAATAGTTTGTATGTGCAAGAATTCATCTGTGTCGGATATCTCCAGAGTTAGCATCAATGAGTGAAGCCTGTCATAACAAAATCTCAACATTTTCTGGTCAATTCCAGCTTGAGTGTTAACAGAAGCAACAAAGGCAACAGGCCCCTCCTTTTCAACATTTTCAGTCTGCAAGCGTCCTCTAATATACTGAACTAATCTCCGGAGAACAGACAAGAAATGCTCTGCCCGCCTTATATTCCCAGGAACTGCTTCCTTTAGAATATCATTAGGCAAGGCAGGGTTTGCTAGCCAGGCATCTGAAGCTGCAGCAAGAGAGAAAGACAATCCAAGTGATCTCACTATCAAGAGTGAGTGGAAGACTATCAGATGTAGAGCCCATACTAAATTAACTTACCTGGCAGATCTCCCCTTAGAGCCAAACCTTCAACAAGTCGGTTATACTCGGCACGAAGTCGACCAGCATCAGTGGCCTTAAACCTTCCTACCATGCCAAAAAGTTCAAAGAAAGGGAATTGTTAAACTCGTCATTTGAGTTTCACAATGTACAAGTACCAATGAGCAGAGAAGAGCATAATATGGTCCTCAAGTAATTTAAATAGCAGATTTTTCAAAACAAGCAGCAATTGCAAGAATTTAGGGGTACTGTTACTTATAGAAGTTGCTAAAAATACAAACAAAACGGGTTAGACTGCTCTGATCTTCTAAAGTACAGACTAGAAGACAGCTCGTGTATATAGGGGAAGAACATACTTAAATAGAAAGGCAATGGACACTTGACTCTGACTTGTACATACCTGTCTATCTCCTGAGACATCCTATTGATATTCCTAGTAGCCCCTTCGAGTGTCTGCATCCTCACACTGACACTCAAAGCCTCAATACATACATTATCAATATTGTGGGCCTCGTCAAACACCACGACAGATTCTCTCTGCATCTCTTTGGATATAATGCCTGCAACCTTAGGATCAAGCAAATATTGGTAGCTATAAACCACCACATTTGCAAGTTGCACCATGTGCCGCGCTAAAAAGTATGGGCACCATCCTTTCAACTTCCCGTAGGCTCTAAGATCCTGCATAATCAAAACAGCAATTGAGATCCATCTTAACCTAGAAATCACTAGAAGCTCAAGAGTCCCCAGTTGTATGCACCGATAGCAAAATTTACAGACCACGAACTAATGGAGGAAAAAGAGAGAAAATGGCTTTAAAACAGAAGAAAAAGGTAACCTGCAGGGTATAAACCCCCGGAGGCAGAATGGCTTCAGAAGCAGACTTCTCGTAGTTCTCAAAAAAGGAACAAGTCGGAATCCTAGGGTTTTCAGCAGCGAGCTCGCGAACCCAACTGGCAGTAAGTTTGCGACAAGCCGCATCGACGGAATCTCTATTCTCAGCGGAAACCACAGTAGGATTAATACACAAGTTCTTTCTGGAAGATAAACCTAGGGCAAGGATCTTGGCGGCCGGGCCTAGGTGTTGTAACTGATAATTGTGGAGCAACTTAAGCTCGGATAAAGTTTTCTCCATTTCGTGGACTGTGCGAGTGCAGTAGATGAACTTGATCGGATTGGAAGGCTTGGAAAGTGCGTAGCTGGTGATGAGGGAAAGTAAGGCTATGGTTTTACCGGTGCCAGTCGGCATCTCTAGAAGGCAGTGGCCCTTGGCATCTAGGGCACGCTTCAGTTCCACCATGTATGCATATTGCTCCGGGTAGATGTTGTCGTAGGGGAAATAAACCGTCACGTCTTCTATTTGGAACTTCATCTTTCAATCGCGTCACTCTCACGCTTTTAAGCTTTCGCCTCTGACGACGACGACGACTGAACGGCGTAGAGAAACTCGCCGGTCTCGGAGATGGCGTTTCCCCTTCCTTCTGCCTGTTCAAGCCTTGCGGTTTATATAGGAGTTTTAACGCTGTCGTATTGGTCTAATTAGCTTAAGTAGGACTGTAGGAGTCTGGATTTCTGGAAGACTAAAGAACTAACCAATGACACAAGAGCGATCCATTAAATCCTGAGTCTTATGTTAGACCCTTAGGCCCATTTCACAATTCCTATAGTAGGGTTGCAACCGATTCTTCTTTTTTTGTTTTTTTTGGAATGGGTTGGTGGGGAGGGAGAGGGAGGAGGGCTGGTGGTAATGGCAAAAATAGTGATTAAACTATTAAGAATTCTCTATTTGCTCACTTAACTTTTTTTTTAAGTCAAAATGGTCATTTAAACGATTATAAAATATATATTTAGTTACTTACACTTTTAGCCACTCAACCAACCAAAGCATCGCACTTTTTTTTGTCACAAAATGTATGTTTTAATTAGTTGCATAAATAGTTTAACCACAAAGTTTAGTGGACTAATTGAGGAATTTTAAATAGTTTAGGGATAATTTATATATGTTTATTCTTTCTCTTGTTGTCTCGTTGATTATTTTTCATTTTTACATTACCCGCTAATTGAATGCTTTAAATACTAGTCACTTCCTCTCCCCATTACATGGTACTATACATTTCAAATAATATTCCAAATAATCTGTATCAACAAGTTACCCTAAGAGTCCGCCGATGTACAGGAAATAGAGAAGCAAATCTGATGGTAAAGATGTGTACAAGTCTCTATGTCAGATTTGTGAGAACTGTTGATCTAGAACAATTTGACAATGAAGAGGAATTGCATGAATGAAATTTTCATTGCTTCTTCAAGCCACATTTCCTTTTTATATGCTTCCCAAACCTAAAGAAAGAAAAAGAAACTACCAAATGTTCTTTGCATCTGCATCCCGGATTAGAGAAAAAAATACCACTAGGACAACATTGCTGCATCCTGTAACAACAAAAAAAATTATCTGTCATGTTTTAGTTTGTGAAGAGTGACGAGGCAAACATCACCCTTCAGTTGACAATGATTTGGAAGCTAGGCCCTTGATTATGTGCCGACACTGAAACCTGCAAAGTTTGCTGAAAAAGAATTACTCCTTGCGAAGACATGGCAAGCATAAATAGAGAAGTTCCCTATGCCAAAGCAAAAGCTTTCATAATCATTTTATGCTAAACACTCTTGGAAAACAATGGTAGTAATTGATAAGATCACTGAGCCACAATCGATATAATTTTCTTTAAATATTATAGGTATGTTGAGTTAATTATGAAACTTAGTATTATCATGCAAACAACTGGGCCAATATCTAAACAGCCATTAATCTGAGAGTACATACTCCAAATTGTACTCTAAACTGACAAATAAATAAATAAATAAAGGAGTGGATGAGCGCTAAATTGTAGTCCAAACTGACCAAAAAAACAAAGGAGTGGATGAGCTCTAACTTCTAAGGACAAAATTGCAAAACAAATGAAAATAGGCACAGTTATGAAGCCAAGGAAAGACACTGAAGAGAATATGCCTGATCATTAAAGCCAAAGGAATAGGCTTTTTGACAATGAATGATGTTACAAATGCCGTGAGATGACACGCATTGCTTAAATTCAGAGATTGGCAACAAGCTGATACAGAAGAGAACAGGGATTAAAGAAATGGATCAGTTCGTTACAGGTTTCGTGATTCAAAGTAGAAGAACCAAGATATCGTCTTCGAACTTAACAACTCATTAAAAATAAAATCATTACATTTGCAAGGACAGAAAGTACCAAACGTTATCAGTTGATGTTGAATTCATCAACACGGAGCTAGCAGGTTGAGGGTCATCAACTTGAGCATTCAACGCCGGCTGTTCACTTCTGCACTTGAACCGCAACTTAAATGGCGCTATCTGCACAAAAAACAACGGAAAAATGCTTTTGTATCGGTCTCTGTTGCAATAACAGCAACAAATGACAAAATCACTATATCGAAGCTTCATGGGTCAGGAAGCATCAAAGAAAAGTTAACGCATAAATCAGACTGACATCATAAAATTTCAAAGGCATCAGAGATACTTCCACTGGATCTTTTGAAATTATACTATTCTTATCAAAGTTAACATCATGCAGTGATTTGCAGAATTACGTTTCCCCATTACAGCCGAATCTTTTCTATATTTTGACAAGGCAATTTCAAACCAATAATACTTTAAGAAAGATGCACTAATCTCAAAGTTTTCAAGTGAAATGCCACTATCAACAAAAATGATAGTAAAAACCAATGATGCTACAATGTTTTGTAGGAGTGACAAAATAGGAAACAAATATGAAAGGCAGTATATCATGGGAACACCATTTGCATGAAAAGCAAGCTAATATAGTTTTACCTTCTTATTGTATCTGAACTCACGCTTGGGAAGAAAATGTAAAGGCAAATTCAACGAGGAGGGAGCTTTTACCAACAAGAAAAGCTTTGAAGGGCCTAGATTCAATCCATCGAAACAAATTAGCTAATAACACACTATTAAATCCTTGGAAAGACACATTATGTACATTCAAGTACCGGAATATGAGTCGCTATTTGATCCAGCGCCTCCCGAGATCAAAGTGCGAATGGCCTTCCCAAAAATTAATTGTGAATAAGTCATAAGAACCGAAGGACAAGCCCAGATACAAAATGCGACGCACTAGTTCTCCCAATCTCTGAAAATTATAAAAGAGGACGGAGAGATAACAGAGAAAGAGGGATGGAAAACCTTTCTGCAGATTCCGTCAGCCACTTTTGTTCTGACAAAATCAGGGGAAACAGTTGTTCCGCTCGAAAAACAGAGTTCATAGAGATGTATGGGCCTTAAGGGACTAGGTCCAAGAACCAGAATTAGCCGCTCAACTTGTGGAATCTGAGGGATCAAGAGCTGAAGAGCAGTCTTGAAATTAGAGACAGAGTTGATTAATTTTTCCAGTCTTCTGATACCCTGCTTCACCTCTCTCTTTCTGGAAACGTGCTTTCTCCTTAAGGATGCCTTCATCTCAGCTTGCGAAGCTAGTAGTATTTCCTAGTATTCCATAATTAAATTTTTTAAAAAATACATCCTTGGGTTTTCAGAGGAAAATCAATATGACAAGCACAAAAGTAGGCTCTACTCACCAAATCCTTGTACTCCTTCTGCAATTCGTCAAATTCGAGGCTAATATCCTGCAAAACACTATGGAGAGAAAGTAAAAACGAATGCATTAGTTGGGGATTGTATAATTTGAAAAAATTTTTTTGGCAGAATCTTTAACTGTCAACGGGAAAAGGGGAAAAAGGAAAAAGGAAAAAGAAAAAAAAAAGAGCAGATGAGGCTAGTGTGCAAACGAAGGGATTTGATGGTGCATATAGAGGACGAAGGCGAGAATGTCGGTGACGACGTGGAAAATGACGGAGCTGTTGAGGGAGTCGGATGCTGTGTCGATGTCGGTAAACTCCTGCATCTCCCAACTTCCGATGGCTGATTCTTCCATTCCTCACTTAGGAGAGGAGTTGAGGTGGAGCAGCAGCGTTTCGCCGGAAAATATGACCTACGACGAGTGGAGAGCTGGAGGTGGGGAATTCTTGCTAAGTTTGTTTGGACCGTAAGTTAATTGAGATATTTGTACTGTAACACTTTTTATGATGTGATGTATGTGAAATAAAAAGGTAATTAAAAAAATAAAAAAGTGTATTAAAAATTATAATAATAATATAAAAAAATATATTTAAAAAAATAATCAACTGTCAATTTCTCTCAATTTGTTTGAATTACGGCAGAAGGCAGGCTTCTGACGTTTAGGTTATATTTTGAATTTTGACGCACAAGTTTAACAGTCAATTTTAAACTTTAATCACCCACAAAATGAAAATAAATAAATAGAATTACAGCTTTGCCACATTTTTCAAAGCATATAAGGTTTCTAATAATTAGGTGAGTATCTTACAACACATAATATTTATTTGTGCCTAAAATTCTTCAAAAATTTTGCTGCTGAGAGGAGGATTTTGGAAGAGCTCAACTCGATGATAGGGAAAGCAAGAAGACCGCGAGAATACCTTCCATCAATTTAAAACTTGATTGATTGAAACTTTACCTCCCATCAATTTATCACATTAAAGCGGCTCTGTTTAAAAAATTCAGGTAGGTGTGTAGTGCATCCACGTGGTTCAATTTCCTTCGAGTTATAAAGACAACAAAAAAAGAAAATAATAGTAGAATGTTATTATATGTTTTTTTGATTACATTACTAGTAGTACTAGCAGTAGTAACATCTAATTTTGCATCTGCTTTAAAATAGTAATTTCAAATTTCCTTTTCGAAACAATTTGTTTGTTTGGTATTATTTAAAATATTATTTGAAATAATTACTGTAATACTTTTTGTGATGTGATGTATGTGAAATAAAAAGGTGGTTGGGAATATAAAAAGGTGAGTTAGAAAATGTGTTTATAATGCAAGCGAAATATTATTTAAAATAATAATGCTATCCAAACACTCCTTAATACCAGTCAGTTTAATTTTTTTTTTTTGAGCCAAAATTTTAGAATGACACCTTAATATGATACAGGCTTTAGAGATATGAGGGAAGCAGAAATGCACAACCAACCCCAAGAGAATAAGCTCCTAGAATAATACAACACTCTATTACTTAGTAGATTTGAGTTTTATAGAGCAGTGACATGACAAACATATGCATCTTGATTTATTTGCTTGTGCAGTAAAACATCAATTCTATTCACATTTTCAAATTAAATTACTAGTACTCAATTATAAACAGAGTTCAAGGGCGAGTACCTTGCAGTCCTTGATTCCGGGTCCTACTTTATAGTATTTTTTTTTTCCACAAACGTTAACAGATATATATATATATGGGTCCTACTTTATAGTAGTATTTGGATTTTGGCTAATAGCTACCCTGTGTATGTTTACATGTATTTCCAGAATATTGCATATAGTCAATCGCTACTGTCTGCAATTTCTTTCAAAAAATTGCTATTCCTCTATCCATTCCCTAGAGGTGGCAAAATGGGCGGGATGGGCGGGATTTGCTTGGGTTTGTGATAGAACCGAGTCATATGGGTTTGGGACCAACCTTACCCATATGTGTTTTGGGACTAACTTGGGCGGGATCACTTTGGGATGGGTTTAGATTGATCCCGCCCAATACCCAAATCTATTTTCTACATATTTTTTTTCCTTTAATTCATTTTTATTTTTTATATAATTTTAATATTTTTTATTTATTAAATTTTTTTAGTTTTATTAAATAAACATGCAAGTGCTTTATACTCAAGATTCCCATCAAAAATTGGATTAACAAATAAAAGAAAAAATAGATATACAGTCATATTCCAACATATATCAAGATGGCCAAGGTACTTAAGGTGTTGAATATTTATTCTCATCATTGTCCAAAGATGACAGGTCTAAATTGACTGAAATGTTGAAAATTCTTGTGGACAATGACTAGGAAAACTACTAGATTATATTCTCTAGTATGACTATAAAAATTGTTAAAGATAATTTTTGAATCTAAGACTCCGTTTGGATTGGCTATTTTTTCAAAAAATAAGTTTTTCAAATATAATGTTACAGTAATATACAATAACTCAAAAAACATCCCATCCATATTAGTATATCAAATATTTCAAAAAAATTTTATAGTAAAAATTTTTCATATACACTGCTATAATAAAATATTTCAAAAATACCCCCCAAAAATAGCTAAACCAAACAGAGCCCTTGTTATTTGAGCCCAATGGGTACCCAAGTATTTCCCAAGTATTCCCATCAATTAATGGGTATAATTGGGATTTGTCCCATTTTAAACCCAATATCAAAATTCAATACCCATCCCGCCCAAAGTCCCCATGGGCATGGGTAACCCATTGGGACTTGGGACAAATTGTCACCTCTACCATTCCCCCCCCCCCGGCCCGCGGGGCGGCAATTCTTCTGCAACTAGGCCTTGCTATTACGATAACATACATCTACCGTCTACACATTAAACATGCAGGTTTACAACTGTGTAGCAACCCTAGAATCAGCCAGTTAAACAGACTTTTCCATAGGACGGACGACCAAGCTTCCTTGCAGCTATGCAAGTTCTGGAGATGCTATTACCACTGACTTGATTGAATCCACAAATTCATAGTCATTTTTCCTGTGGGTACAAATAAGGAGATCCATCAATTCATGAGCATGCACCAATCATTTCAGATAGCAGGTTCCTGATCTCTAATCTGCAGAAAATCGCTCTTAAACATGCAAACCATTAAGCCAAGAGATTTGCTGTTTTCATGGCAAGGAAAGGAGCGGAGCAAGAACTTCCTTTTCCAGCGTTGAAGCAAGTGCCTCCTGTCATTGTGGCTCTAGACTTCAAATGCTTTGCATACCGAGTCAGCTCTGAATAGTTCGTCTTGTTCCCCCAAAAAATGACCAGACCTCTACGAAGACCAACTGCTTCTTCAATCTCCAGTGAACCATGGATCAAAGATCTTTTGCAAATACCACACTTTCCACCAAAATATATCATGGAGGGAGTTCTGAGAGAGTTTAGCCAGCATGTGAAGATGTTAAACACCATAACGCCTTAATGCATTGCTCAGACTTGGCATCACATTATAAGCTTGATAAGATCTTCTGAGTTCAATGATTGAACCCACCTACAAACCATTGAAGAACAAGGAGTTGGTTAGATGTTGAATGAAATTAATCATAGCTACCAAAAGACCTGCTGTAATCCAGGACTGAAACATGAATCACTAGGAAAACCCAATCAAGTCAATGATATGGAAAAATAAAATGTCATCCCACCTAACCTACAGGCTTGCTGCCAAATTCCTAGCAAATAGTGCACACTAATAAACTCTTCAAAGACTATTTCTCTCTCTTTTCAGGTTTAATGGTGAAGTTGGTTTGTGTTTGAGTTTCTACATGGTACATTCTGGTTTATGAGGTCATATGATAATCCACAACCTGTGTCTCCTCCAGTGTACATCAAAATTATTCCTTTATGACATATCAGCTCATAACAAGCAATAAAAAGTTTTCTTCAGGAGGGTTAAGTGATTCAGATTGTTAACTCCCAACTTTGGCTGCATTCAAGAACCAGTCGTCCTCTCTCTTTTTATGACTAACAAGGGGAAGTTTCCTTCCCTGAAAGTCCAATCAATCATTCAGCCACATGTACAGCAAGCAGATAAATCGAAATCGCTGGCTATCGTCATCTCATTTAGTCTTAATTAGATCCATGACAAACTTCAAGACTTCAAATACCATAAAATACAAGTATTTTAACCCGTACATTAGCACCAAATAAAATTGATACATATGGATAAAATAAATCAAGTGAATTTATAAATAAAAATAAAGTTCATTAGAAGAGAGAGGAAAACCATAATAAAATATAATTTAAATTTATTAAAAAGGATTAAGTTGATAAAAAAGAGAGAAATTATGAGAAGAATTAGTTAGAGAAGAGTTCGATATGAATATAATTAAAACACAACTATCCAAATGACCCATCAATTCTTTTCAGTTAGTTATGCCACCTTGGAGAGAGAAAATGGGTAATTAATTAAGAACTTACATGCATGCGAGTGTGTGTGTATGTGTGTAAATATATATACAGATAGGTGGGTCATTTGGATGCACACACACACACACACATATATATATATAGAGAGAGAGAGAGCAATACCCTTTCCATATAGTAATTTCTATGAATGTGATATGCAAAGAGAACAAAAGGTGTAGTAACTTGCAAACATGCAGACAAGTGCCTTGTTAACGTGAGGCAGGAGGAGAAATTAATATCAAAAAGGGTCCAAGAGTAAAAGACTTACTATTATCAAAACTGACGTGAAACCTATTGCAAATCCCTCATTGATGCGGCGTAAATAATGATCAAGTATTGTAGATGTGGTGGCCAAAATACTTAACAATAAACCACCTGCAGGTGTTCAGCATGCGACCTGGTGAACCCCAAGTGTGAAAGAAGATGCAAATATAGCGTTGCTGAACTAGTAATAGCATCAGATGAAATTTGAAATTTGAAGGAAGAATTGGTTGATCCATACCCCAAAAACGTGTTGAAGCTTGAACTTTTGTCAGATATTCAATGGTAGCCTTTCCAGGCTTTATATGTGGAATTCTGGCCCCCATCTTGTTCAAATAATCAGCTATTTCCTTGGGCATGTTTGCCTACAGATACATGTCCCCGTAGCAAAAGAAAGAATGAGATCTCATCCTCTCATCCTCTCATAAATCATCAAACACACCACGCAATCAAAAATTAATATCAATAGAATTGGACTCTGCTGCAGCATTAAGTTAATATCAAGTGGGAGAATTACATCTTATTACGACCAAAATTTATACCTTTTTACATTCCAAAGTTGAAAAGGATGGTTAAACCATCCTTTTTATTACATTATGCTGAGAGCATTTTGAAGCACAATAGGATACCTTCCACTTCTTAAAAATTGAAACATGCCCCAAAAACAGACCCCCAAAATGCTTCTGTTATCGGGTATATTTTCCTGAAGGACGAAATTATCACTAAAACATCCAACAACTTTTGGTGTTAAAGAACAACCCTTGCTAGTCATTTATATGAAACTATCAAGTCAATTTATGAAGAGATTCAGAAAGAAGAAAGCAATGGATCTTATTGTAGATTGTATTCCACATCAACAAAGAATGAAGTGGAGTGAGAAAACTTACAATGTCAAATATATTGAAGAGGAACACAAAGAACGCATAAATTGTGTAATAAACCCATGGCTCAGCACCAAGAGAAGTTTCAGGATTCAGGGTATTTCTCACATTTTCCCAAAAGCGTGAACCAAGAAGGCTGTCAGGAAAGTACCAAATGAGAGAGTTATAGGTTGGAATTGCTCACAAGATACTTCATTTAAAGTTAAATAGATATCAATTCGGCATTTTCAGATAGACACCAGTATAGTTAGTGGCAAATTGGAGGACCACAAGAAACAGAACAGAGCAAGGAATTTAATCTGCAAAAACTCTCCAGAAAATAACAATATTACTGCAAGGCTTTATACTGCTCTAGCTAAGAAACAACCAAAAACACAAGAACCAGGAAAACAAGCAGGCTCCAGTTATCCGCAGCCAGTGTGCTGGATAGTATGCAATTAAGAGGCTTTGGACAAGTTTTAGATTGAAGAATGATTTATAGCACTGAAGTTTGATAGAAACCAAAATGGAACCACTGAAAACGACTAAGTGCTGAATCACAGATGAAGTTACCTTGCTAGGATGCCGGGAAAAGCCAATAGGTAAGAAGTTGTGAGAACAGGCTGCATCCCTGAAGGATTTATGTTGAACGGGATGTAAGGCTCCACCTCAATAATTGGAGAATCTTCTCTGCTCAAAACATAGGGTCTAATGATCAATAAGGGTGCAACCAAACAGAAATCTTACATTAACGCAAGCTGGGTTACATTTAATTAAATGAGAAAAAATCAAATAGTTTCTAAGTTAGTCAAAAATCAAGTTATAGCTAAGTCTATATCCAAAAGTGTGACAAATTAGAGCAGAGATTCAATTTTTAAGTTCAACTCTGGCAAACTTAAGTGAATTCAATCTGTCACCAGATTTGACGTCCTTATCAATTATCATGGCAATGCAAAGTCATTACTAATTTATACAAGAGTACGTAAGTATTGTAAAGGCCAATATGCATAACCTTGCAGCTGAAGCAAGTTTAAAACCAAAATACTGCAGCTTGATTTTCCGGCAACCCTCAGTCACAACAACTGCCCACATAGTTACTACAGTAAAAACACCAAAAACAGCTAGTACATATGGCCACCAGCTAACAGCAGTTCCTGCAAAAAGCAAGAAGTCCAAATTAATATCACATGCAAAAGATGAGAGCAATATTTCTTGAAAAACAACATGATATCAAAGAAGATGCTCAAACAACAAGCACCCAATTACTCCACAATCTCAGTCAAAATGGTAAAAAGAATCAATTAACAGAAATATACTCTTCAAGTCGATTTATAACTGTACCTGCATATTTCTTCAAGTGAAAGAAATAATTAAGGACCTGGAATTGCTTGCAAGAGAAGGTACCAGCCAGGGAATCACATAGCATGCAATAAAATTCAAAAGAAAAAAGAAACTGAATTTCATGCAAAGAAATAGGAGGAATCTGCAATATTCTACATAAGAGCTAATCTCTTTCTATTTTTTAGGGGGATCAGAATAGGCCCCTATGCGCTGAATAATCATCAATCCAGAGGTTTAATTACATAAGCCAATTTCATGTTCATAATAGTCTTTGTAGATAAGAGCACAAGCTATATACTACATGTCTTACTTCACATTTAAGTATTATTTCCACGAGTCAGAGAATCATGTGGCCAGAAGAGGTTTCACATTCTGCAATTTGTTGCCCACCTGATAGTTGAGTAAGCATTTTGGACAATGTATCTGTGTAGCCAGTCAAAATCCCCACACAGATAATCAATGACGAGCCTTGACCTGCAGAAACCCCCATAAAGTTCAAAAGGTCATTATGGACAGAAAACTCGTCCGAAAAATCATTCACTAATCTCTATAAGAGATAAAAACTCAACTGTTTCTAATGAAAACCTAAGCTTGACAGGTTTTAGGTAGACTGACTTTATTGCTTGACTAGAAAATGAAAAAAGCTGTTAACTCCCTGCAGCATGCAGAAACAACAGCAGTAAAAAGTTGTGGAAAGGCAGATAACTGAGAATTCCAGGCAATACCAAATCCAGCATCTGTTATTTTGTCACAAATCCATGTCATAGTCATTGCACCACACACCAAAAGGGAAGATGTCAACATCACGTGCTTTACCCTGCCATAGAGAATACACCATAGCCAAGATGAAAATATCCATAAGAAATTGTTTAGATATAACAGAGTATTTCAGCAATAGTACAAAAATGCAACTCATTGGAGACAAACAATACTTTTGCATGATTAGATGACCCACAGTAGAAAAAAAGGTAACCAGATCAGATAAGAAAACCAACTCTGTCACAAATTCATTGTCAAGAATGAAATTCATATTTTCGAATCACCTGTAACTGGCAGCATAAATGGAATATGAGAGCGAATAACAAGAAAGAACCAGAGCCTCCACTATGGCAAACCCAAGCGAAATCCACCATCTGAGATCAATAAATATTTGCTATAGTCCTTAACTTGATCAAAGGATAAATGAACTTGATAACATAGGAAAATTTTTCTTAACAACTCATTTCACTGCTTGAAATAGATAACCAAGACACACATATAACTCTTAATCTTCTCGTGACCATCCAAGCCTTCTTTTCGCAACTTCACCAAAGAAGGAACCACATGGCAAAGAACCTGAATGACAAAAATGAATCTGATTTAAGCTCATTGAAATTCATAATAAAAAGAAGAACATAATAGACTCTATAGGTAAATGCAAAGTGCATAAAGCACATTAACTCAAAAGATTCGCGTCATCTACTCCTATTTAAGAAAAAACAACAAAATAAGACAACTGTAAAAGAGAATGTGCTCCATTATAAATAAGGTGCTACAACCTCAGATGCTAAACGACAGGCAACTATGCTGAAAAGTGACAATAATGGTTCTTAGACTGAATAATCATAGGCAAGCAAGAGTATGTGTAGCAGCTCTATATACAGGACACACCAACTGGGCCTATATAAATGCTTTTATACAAAGTACTATCCCTTGCATTACAAACTCTGAGGCCAAGCTGGAAGATTTACTGACAAATATACATGATTAACTTCACAATGTCTTTTATGTAATGTGCAGCTCCAAAAATCCTAGATAACAATAAATTGTGGAAAGCACTAGCCTGTGTAGCAGCATAATACTACCAAATAACCATCAAAAACATGATCTATCATGGGAAACCCAGGATACCTGCATGAGAATTGATGCTGCAATTTGAGGACTGATACCCAATTGGAACAAAGAAAGCTTAAGTTCCGGTGTGCTGTCACCTAGTTCATCTGCAAAGTGAAAGTGAAAAATGATTTTACCCGCAAAGTCACAGAGTTCCTTTTTTTTTCTCTTTTTCTACCTTCCCGCTTTTGAAGCAAGAAGGCAAAAAAAATTTGCATGATAGACCCTCAAATCCACAAGGAACATAATGTTACCTCTTGCTTCATCTAGAAGCAAAAACATTTTTTACTGAGGAAGTATACACAACCTAGAGTTCAAACTACTAGAAACCATTTCCAATGGGTGAAATTTGCGTGACCAATTTATTAAAGACATTGTACAAGATACAACAGCAAATTATAAAAACTAGAGCTTCAAATATTGTCCATATTCCCCAAAACAGGTTCCAAGTTTGCTATAACATTACTTTTTTAGTCACTTTACTAAAACATGTTCTTTATTTATCCTAACCACTTTACCAGCCACAAGGTAAACTACAGAAAAACCATGACAAGTAAGAATTTTTCCCATGACAGGACTATCAGCCATACCAACTCATCACAGAGACACAATGTAAATGTCATAATGTCCCAAACTTATGAAGAAGACACTCCAGGGATTTCCACTTTTCCAAGATATCATTAACTGAATACCAAAAGAAAACTTAAAAAGATACTATGTCTTGAGAAATCAATAAAGTCCTCCACCAGAAATTTCCAAAAAATGACCAATATAAAGCACAAAATGCACAGAAAAGCTGTAATCGCATTTGATACATCAGAAAAACAGCCATTTCATTTTGAGCATTTGGTAGATTCATACAAAGGAATTATGATCACAAAGACCACGACTTACCAACTGAGCCTGAGACAAAGCTAAGATAGTCCTGGGGCATCAACCGCCGATCAAAACCAGGTAGAGGAATGAAGTAGCCAACACGACTTATCACAATAAGGATGGCAGTCACAAATAACCTCCTTCGTATCTCACTTTTAAAGAAAGATTCAGCAGCAGTATTAAGGACTGAACTGAGGTGAACAAAGTTCAAAAATCTATTCTTATAAGCTTTCGGCCTTGGTCGCAACGAATCATTGCCACCAGAATCATGCAAGGGAAGAACCACTTCGCCAGCATTAGGTTCAGGCAGGAATTGTTCATAACCTAAAGACTCAGTAGATGCAGCTTTAATTTCAAAACATCTTCCTCTCAGCTTAGAAACAATATCATAAGAAGGTCTGATATTTTGCCTATCTAACAACAATAAGGGCTTTCCACCGAATCTTGAACAATTTATCTTGAGTGGAAATAATCCAGGAATTGGTCGATGACAAAATTTCTCCCTATGCATAATATCGTTTCCTGCAACATCAGAGATGAAACAAAACACTTAGTCTGATACAGCAAATTCCAAAGCACCCTCCCTCAGAGTTCTCCTTGTCCTTGGTTCAGAATATCAATCACAAACTGAAAATAGCTCAAGTATTGGTGCACTTTTGATAAAACCGGGAAAAAGAAATCAAAGTAGAACTCCAACTCCCCGCCAAATAGATTTCCTGCTGCCGACTCAATGATAAGACACAAGTTGGATCGAGAAAAGGGATGCCAACATCACGCCTTAGGAAAGAAGACCAAAAATAGCGCATTAAAGTTCCAACAATAGAACATCACAAAAGAAACCAATTTCTTCCAATAAGTGATGATACGGAGAATGATGCAAATAACACAGCATATGCATAATTCTGAGCCAAATTTAAGTTAACATGGTTGGCCAAAAAAAAAAAGAAATAAACATAATTGCTAACAGTTAGCAGGATATTTACTTCTTGTGACTTCCAACAGTACGAAATGTCGAGATTCTTGAGACCTTCGTAATTCTTTTAAAATAAAAATATCTAGTTGTACAGAATATACGCGAATAGAATTCTAAAATAGGTAGATATAGTAACAAAAGTAAATGTATGAACAAATTCAAGAGAGAGAGAGAGGGAATAGTTGCCTGAAATCTTGAAGTAATTGGTGGTGAAGAGTTGAAGCTGAGAGCTGACTATAGTGGTTTCCATGGCCGAAATGCGCAGAGTTTGTCAGAATAGTGTAGTAATGGGAAGGAAAAGAACCCCGTGCTCAAAGCCGGATGCTCCGTATCCTTATAAAGACCGTTTCTCGGATCCGGTTAGTAGTTTGGGTCTTCCATTCGGGTTTTAGGGAGGGCTTTGCAAATAGAGGATTAATTCCTTTAAAGCCCCGTGAACTTTGGTATGAGTTCCACTCTGCCACCCTCAACTTTTTAGTAGGCATTTTACGGTACCCCATCTAATTTTCCTGACTGTAGCACCCTCAAAATGTGGATAATTTGCATTGTTTTACACCAACTTTTTCTTAATCTGCTCCTTTTCCTTTTTTTCCCCCTTAAAATTTTGCCTGCCTAATTCTTCCTTGTTTTCCATTTATTTTCCTTTCTTTCTATTATAAATCTCATATCTCGGCGTTCGTTACATTAGATTTTCGTGTTTGGCCAATCTGATCCTTATTTTGACCTTAACTTATTTGTAATTTGTTTTCTTCCTTTATTTTATTATTTTGTCTCTCACTTGCACAAGAAATCATGTAGTTTGATAGTAAAATGGTCGACTTCCGTTAAGTTATGTAGGGTTAGCATCAAAGATAAATTCCAGTATGTCAAATTATAAATAACTTAAATGTAAGCATTGCTATGTCTTGTATTTTATCTATTATTAGTATTGTTACGTTTCTACAAGGAGAAAGGGTAAAGGAAAGAATAAGAAGAATTCTATTCTCCAGATTGTGCAAGAGTATTGTAAAGGTAGAGGGTGAAGAGAAAGAAAATGAAATAAAAAGAAAACAAATATGGGGAAAAAAAATCATACAATACTCAAATGGGCATGGGCAACGACAGTATCATTGCTCTCATGCATCATACCCCCAGGCCCAGGTGAGTCGAGTCCATCCAATGATCCATGCACGGTGATGGACTTTATTGCTAGAAGTCTTGAATGGCAGAGGAGTTCGTCTCTTGTTCGGGCGCATCTGTAACATACATCAACCTTATTCCGAAAACGGATACAATCGATCGAATGGAATTCATAACGGTAAATTAATTACAGACTATTGTGAATTGAGTCAATAACTAATCTTTCCTCAAAAAAAATAAAAATCAAGAACTAAATAATTTATGTACCATCTACTTCTTTCGTGCAAAAAGAATGAAAACCTATGCAATTCAGCATTTCTAAATAATTTATTTCTTTTGGCTGCTGCTGGTATTATTTAAACTATATTTTAATTCACCGCAAGGCACGTGGTCAGCAGCAATCAATCTGAAACGAGTTGCAGGTTCTGGTCAGTGTTCTGTACGAGGTATAAAGCCAGCCAAGCTAGTAAGTCCATTCCTTCGGGAGAAAAATCTCCGGCGAACAACACTGGCCGCCTCCGCTTCCCACTCCGGCTGCTGCATTAATGTTCTCTTTCTTACCACCAGCATTGGATTGCTTGCCAGTACGCTCTGCATATTATTAGTCGAAGGTCTCATGTTAGTAGTTAACACTCCTACATATATAGTATATATATATATACTGGCAGTACTTTGTGTGAAAGTTGCATATTGAGCTAGGAGCTGAGTCGACGATTGAAGATAAACTTAGTGAGTGGAGGAACGCTAATGCAAACCTTGTTGTTGGGGCCTGGACTGGAAGCCAAGTTCGTGGACATTAAGGTTGAGGACCTGAACGACGCGGGACGGAAGGAGAACAGGAGGGCAGGCTGCATTTTCGCGAAAAGACCTTTTAACTAAAATTAAGAAGAGAATAACTAGGTGCTACAAAGTACATACATAGAAACAAGAATTATTGCATGGTGGAGTGATAGCTGGTGCGAATGATCAACCACCTGGCCTATTGGATGATGGAAAGTGGGTTCCTGCTCTTCGAGGGAGAAACACTCCTGTTCCGCAGGATCGTTGCCCAGAATCCAAGAACAGGGCTTGCATTCCAGGACCACCAATTGCCCATTTCGTGTTCGACGACCCCCCATTTCTGGTTCTTTGGTTTCCCAGCTGGCCGGACTTCCAATGCTACTCGATGCTCGTCGTCAACCATGCCAAAATTAATCAGTTTTTACATCTTCATTCTATCGGCCTGCCTAATTAATGCCATAGGCCGAGACAAGCCCAAACAGAGAGAGAGAGAGAGAGAGAAGGAAAAATAAATTTTTTTTAAAAAAATGCTGTCATTGGCTTCTAACAAGTTCTATCCTCCTTTTTGTTCTGTACTTAACGTGCAACTACTGGGATTTCAATCCTTGAAATGACAACAAAGGTTATTAATTTTTTTCTTTTTTTTTGGGGGGGGGGGGGGGGGAAGATAAAATTAAGCTTAAATTAATCTTACAGTTGTAGTAAATCTTAGTAGTACTTAAAATGGACCCCAGTTGCCTGGTTCATAGTGGGAGACAGTTATTTTGGATTCAAAGGAGAGATTATGGGAATTAAAATTTACAGGTTCCCTAGCGCTAATTCAGTCAGAATTTTTTCTTTCCTTCGCCAAGTGGACCTTAAGTTAACACAGGACAGGATCAATAATATTACACGTACTCAGTGAAGAGTTTGAATTCTGCAATATTTCTACAATAATGTGTGCCAAAATAAATAATACTGACAACTGGCATAGCAATCCTCATTTATCACAAAAAAGGAGAGAGACATTAAGTACTCCTTACCATATCATATTGGCGGAAAGATTCGGATTTAAATTCACGCTCCCAAAGAGTTGCCCCGCAACATTTGGCGGAAGCATCTTCTACAATCCTTGACTTATTCCTCACATGTTTAATTATCTACTAAATTTTGTCTGTTATTATGCTGACTTACTATGAATATCTTTGAAAATCCTAACTGCATAATAACACACATACTCCATATTGAAGACCAGAGAAAAAGCTCATGATCATCATGAACAAGAAGAAAATAAAAGTTTTCCTCTACGTACATACAAGAGAAAAAAAAAAGTGATTTAAGTACCGAATTATCCGCTGCTGGTGATTTTGAGTAGTGCCGCTCGGATTGGTGGTGCTTTTGATATCTCAACTGCCCCAGCAATGCAACAGAACAGAACCAAGCGATTCAGTCGAATGATCAGGATTAATAGGAGGAAGGAAAAGAGGAGACGAAATTAATTAAAAGGGACTGAGAATATCATCATATGCAGAGGAAAAAAGAATATATATATATATATATAAAGATATATGGAAGGGAAGCATGACAGATGAGCTGAGCTTGGAAAGATGGAATAGAACACCTTCTCTTGCAAGCATGATTGTTGCTGGTCAAAAGCATTTGCGGGAAGAAGACACGACATTCCTTCTTCATACCGAATAACGTTCTCATTTCCATTCTCAGCCATTATTTACGATCAGATAAGGGAGAAAGGGGTGCGGTTACTATATGGTTTGCTCTGTTTTTCTTTTTGGTTTTGAGGGACGGATCCAGAGAGAATGTCGAGCTCCAACTCTGAACCTGCAATGCAACTAATTTTACTTATGCGGAGAGATGGGAAATTAAGAAGCAAGGTATATATATATATAGTTGACCTGGATTTTGGATTTAAAATAAGGATAGAATCAACTTAAACGTTTGTTTTCATTTGCCCGCGTTTTACCACTTTGCCCTTCCCTCATCCACTCGAAATTCTTTCCCTTCCCCAAATAACAGATACCAATGCGGAATACGCATTTTTTTTTTTTTATATATAAATATATATAATAAACATATCAATTTATAAGCGGGGAGGGAGGATGATGAGTAAGTTGAGAAACAAGACCACGAATAAGGATGATAATGACATGGACGAGGATAGGAGGATAGGTGGATAGGTTGGGTTGGGTTGGGTTGGGTAAACCCCTCTCCAGGTCGTTGCAGTTACTCTTCTTAGATTAAAGGTTTTCGCGCTGGTCCAATTATATGCCAATTCCTCGTATCATCCGTGGCCTTCTCTTATAAAAGTTTCGGAGTCAACAAAATTTTCATCCGTGTTGGTCCTGTGATTTTTTTATATATATATTTTTTGTTTACGTGATAGCTTTTCTATTCTACTCATATTCCTCATTTATATTAAGGGGCAGGGAATAGGCCCAACTCAAAAAAGATTGAACTACCGTCGAATCAAATGAATGCTAAACGTACCAGCTGATAAAACTTTCAAAAAATTTTGAAGATGAATGCAAGTCAAGGTATTCACTCCCTTGACCTGCATGGCCGGCAGTTGGTTTGTCGGTCCGGAGATATTGGAGAGAAGGAAATGTATGAGCGCGTGCGTGTTGGAAATAGCTGCATCTTCTAACGCTGCAGCGGATAGTGTATTAAGTATACTTACTATTATTAGTAGAAGGGAAGAGGCTCTTTCATTCTCAAGTCTTAACCACCCCACCAACTTTGGTTTAATTAGGAGAGTGGACCATCCATCTGATCAACCGAACGAACAAGTGAACGAACCAGCTCATGTTGATTCCCTTCCCCATCTTCTCAGATTGTGATTTTACCATTATCCCCCCAACCTAATTACTACGAACCGGAAAGCCGCGAGGTAGCAGCAAGCGAAGAATATGGTTGAACAAATTAGTGCTAGTATTAGTCATCGTTCTCGATTTCGATTTACTACATTCCACCTGTTATATCATGTAAATTTACTACATTCCACCTATTGATGTAATTATATATCATGGAAATGACATAATAAAGGCAAAAACGCATGTTTCTTTTGAATATTCCCTTCATCCACAAGTCCAATGTTGTTCTCTCAAATGCCAAAATCGCCCAACATTGAACCATCCATCGTTTTCCCAAGACTGGGGAAAGAGGCGCCGAGATTGTGCAAATTTACATTGCCGCGTAGGATCGTATGGCTTAATTAGTCTCGCTGTTGTAACAAATTCCAGAGAAGGTCCTTTTCCTGTTTTTTTGTTTTCCTTTTGCTACTGCTCCAGAACCTTACCATCATAAACAGTTTGTCATTTGATTGAACAGATGCCCTGTAATTGGGTGTGGAGATTACTGAACAACAAAAATCCTATGAGTTGCCGGAAATCTGCTTAAGATCCTTAATCAGCCAACCTTCTTCCACCATTTTATTACGCCATCAAAATTCACAGCCTACGAGGACCCTCCCTGTTCTGTACCCCGATGAATTTCTAATTCAGTAACAAACATCCAACGGAATGGAAGAACCGTCTCCTCGCTTTGTAAAGATCTTACTTATCCCCGTTTTACAAAATTGAAGCAGCAGACTGTGTCAGTAATCCTTGCAACTGCAGAATCAAATTGAATAAAGGCATACATCAAGGTACATTTTTTTATCTCCTAGACAACAAATCTCAAGTTATTCTCCCAGGATAGAGCTCGGAACTTCAGTCACGCACATTCTGCTAGTTAGTTGTATGAGCTGCCTGGTATCCTCGTCCGGTTGGACATTATCCTTCTTCATCCTCTCTACAACTACAACTGGCATTTTACCAGCTTTTGCATAAGTTCGGAGAAGTGAGTTATACATTCCTGTATTCAAGTGTCCAGCATGCCGAAGAGTAACTAACAATTTTTCTGCACCCTCAATGTTGCCACTCACTTCAAGCATCCCAGATACTTCTTTGACCATCTTTACATCTGGCTCCCATTTTTTCACACTACCAATAGCTTTGTTGAAACAATCAAGTACCTTTTCCACCTTCTTTAGTTTCAAGTAGCCCCATGTCAGAAGCTCCCAAGTGGTATAGCTAGGAGTCATACCTTTTTCTACCATCTGTTTGTAGAACTTCTCAGCCATTTCCATCTGACCATCGTTGATATAAGCAGCAAGAAGTATATTCGGAATTCTAGAGTCCCCAGTTGGAGAAATAGAACTCCATTCCATGTAAAGCTTCTCTGCTTTGCATAATTCATGGAGTTTCACTAGGGATGCAATCATGCACATATACTCGGAGTCATTTAACTTGTGGAACATTGACTTCATCTTCTTCCAAATCCAATAAACCTCATCTTTATGTTCCAGGCTAGTGTGTAAACTAATGAGAGAGGAATAAGAGGGACGAACTTTCTTGGAAATTCTTTTTTCCATTTCACCCAAAGTCGAAGCTGCTTTTTTCTTGAGTGAATTTTTAATGTAGATATTGGTTAATGTGCTATAAGTCACCCAATCTGGATCCAGTGTTTCCTTCTGTAGCTCCAGGAATACTTTTTCTGCAGTTTCTACGTCATTCTGCAGCGCACAGACAGATAACCACAGGTTATATGTAACAACATCTGGTGAAGTGTTCTTCTTTAACTCCTGAATCATCGCTGAAACCTTCTCCAACTTCCCTGTGGAGATATACAAGGTCAACATGTGGTTGTAAGGAAGAGGACTCTTCAAGAAACCACACTCTGACATCTTTTCAATTAAAGCTTCCGCTTTAGCGGATTCCTTGTGTTGGGCATAGGTGTGAAGAAGGGAACTACATGTTGTGTGATCTTTCATTTTGTCAGGAAGATCTTCAAAGAACTTCTCAGCACTATTCATGCCTCGGACTTTTGCAATCAAGTCCAAATGGACAGCATAGTCCCCAGATAGTAACTTGATATTTTCCTGTATCCTCATCCACTCACATACCTACAGAAGTACAGTATTCAGATTGACTAGTAAACAAATAAAACCTCCGCAAAGGATAATGCCTCACAAGGCTACTCAAAAACATAAAATAAAATTTGTGCAAGGTTTTTATTGAGCATTATGGTAAATACTAAAAGCTGGCAAGGAGCAACTCAATGGATGATCATCCGGATTCAATGTTCACCACAGCTCACACACAGCTGCAAGTAAATGTATTGAATCCATTTCGCTATCTTTTCTTATTAGAGCTATTAGGGGTCCCATAGAACTTTATATTCCATCATCTTTATTGATTTATTTTTAAGAAGAAATAAGAATTTTATCATCTTTGATATACTAGCAAGTTCAAGTTCTAATTCATCCCAGTAATATTCACTATGAAATATAAACAAAAGAATTCTGAGAAAATAAAGAAAGAAACAGAAGGAAAAAGTGAGAAGGAAGAAGAAGAAGACACCTCGAGGGCATGTTTATAGCGCTTAAGCTTACGGAGCTCTCGGACTATGCGGTTGAGCTCGTACTTTTGGACTACGTGGCCTTCCTCCTTCCACTTTCTAATGGCGATGACGGCGCTGCGCTTTGTGTATACCAGACTCAGTAGCCTCCTCCCGAGGGTGTCTCTTCCACCAGTGCTCGTGATTTTGCTGCTTGCACCACCTGATGGTGGGGACTTCACCGTCGCTCCAATGGTTTCTGCCGAGAAATAGCGCACGACGGCGAGGGATCTGCGCAACAAACGAGGGAACATCTTTAATCTTCACGGGACACCAAAGACAAGGCTGGGGCATTCCGGAGCAAAATAGAACCGGGCTTGCGGTTCACACAACCAAAAAACGCTTCAACTTGCTCCGAGGAATGTTTTCTGGCAAAAAAAGGCGCCCTAAATCAGCCCGCTTTTCTTTTCTACCATTTCTGCTAATAATTGGTTCTAATAAGGGATAACCACGTAAAACTACCATAAGCTTTCTGTAAGATTTACTCTCACATTTATATCCCTTCTATTGATCATTTAAATTTTAATATATGAAAAAATAAATTGAGAATATGTCACAGAGTTGTTTAATGAAGTAGCGGAGTACATTGGCTTTAAATTTTTTTATTTTCTTTTACTTAGAGAATCTTATTTTAGAGAACCTTATATTCTTATTCTTCCAATAGACAAGGATGATGTATGTTGCAAAATCATCTCTTGTGAACCCACAATATGTTATCTGTAAATAGAAAATCAACCAAATCTTGCATTTTTTTAAAAACCACCAAATTATGCATTTTGCATATAGGAAAATTAGTTGAGTAACATACTTTATTAGAAATAATTCTACATTTTGAGAATAGGAAAATATAGTTGAGAAACATACTTTATTAGAAATAATGAAATGATGATTAGAACAATATGGAACTAACTACCTCTAGAATAATTGACCACCACATGTTTTTATGGGGTGGGAAGTTAAGAATTCAAATTTTGTTTCCGTCAAAAGTTGTCACTTAACATGGTTTCTCTTAAATCTATATCAATGCTTCTTGCACTTGTATGGTTAGATGTTGGTTCAGTTCTGTTAATTCCCATAACCCTATACTCCCTTATTATATAGGTTAGAGTAGCCCTTAGTAGGAGTAAATTGTGAGGTTAGAGTAGCCTTTAGTATAGCTTAGAGATCCCTTTAGTATATATTAGAGCAGGAGTAGGAGGAGTAAATTATGATAATAGATTAAAAAAAAAAAAAAAAGGAAGATTAGAACAACATGGAATCAAAGGCATGGACGCTTTAGCGGTGTGTGTCTCACATGACTTTAGCAAAAAAAAAAAATCAATTCGACCTTGCAAAAAATCTGCGTGGGGACATAGCAATATAGCATCACATTTATCACGGACCCATTAAATTAAGCAAAACATAATGGCGGCCCGAGCCCAATGATGACAGCAGATAA